TCCTTCAATCTGTTTTCTCAAAAACAGTCAAACTAACTATATAAAGTATAACTCTCCTCCCACATTGTTTTGCTAACTGACATCAATTCTGTTACACAGCATCTTCAGACTGTGCTTCACAGTAGTCTGGGGCCGTTTAGTGGCCATTTTGGTAAGGAACCGGAACCAGGGCGAGAGAGACAGGATGTGGAATTCGATGGATGTACCTTTCCGTCAAAATAAAAGCACCAAGCTTATAAAAATGTGGTGAAACTTTTTAATTTAAAGAATATAAGTTACAAGAAAAGCCCCAAGCCATTAAGTTAATCTTTTTCTTTTATTGTAAATCGATGGTGCGCCAGAAAGTTTTACTTTGGTGAATTTGGTGAATTCTGGATCCGCTCTCTAGACCAGAACCAGAATCCAGACAAAATTCAGAGTGAATGGAAACCAGAGCCTGGTGATGCAAGGCTAGCTGGTGCGGTCCACAGTGATGCAGCCAGATGTTTTTATTTTTTAAAACTTGAGCCCACAGTGCATCAAAATGTTGTTGTGTCAACATCAAATGTTAATCAAAAAAGCCTGAATTTTGATGTTGTGGTAGAAGTAGTGTTGTCAGTTTCAGAATTGTATCTCAAAAACAAAAGTTTTGACAATATTTAGATTTCTATTCTTGTAAACTCTTGCTGTCACTGGAAACAAGATCACCTTTAAACAAACTTTGTCACTTACAGAACAATCAGTCTTTGTAAAAAATAAATTACAGCACACAATCTCAGAATCTTGTCTTGACGACTACATTTTTGACCCTAGTTTGAAATCTGCCTTTTCATGCAACCCTGGTGATTGTAGTCACAGTGTGAAGCTGATATATGGTTCTTCACTTGCTCTTGGTGTCTATAGGTGTGAGTTTGAGTCCTGGGTGATGCAGACTAAACATGCTAAAACCTACTCCAGCACTATGCTGTGTGAATTAGAGACACATGATTCCAAGGTTTAATGGTAATTTTGGTTCTGCTGACACCGTCCTGTATTTCTCATTTGTCCTCCTCCTCTTCCTCAAAATCCCCAGCGCAGACTCACTGCCGTGCAGCAGCTATCATTCATTTAGTTTTCTGGATCAGTCATGTAGGAGCTGCGAGGTTGTGGCAGATTTCCTGCCCACCATTAGCAGCGTTCCAGCGATCCACATGGCCATGCTTGTGTCCAGAAAGTGTCTGGGCGTGCAGCCGTGTGCTGTAAAAAGCCCGTTGGTCTTATCAAAATATGTTGAACTGCAGGAAGCTCGCTCTAAACTCCCAGTCTGGTACTGGTGTTGTTGCCGCCTGGCTGTGTTGTCTTAGCACAGAGCTGTCTGCAGACAGTGTGCCAGAGCCAGCATAACCACCAGTCTCTTCCCATACAGCCGGCAGCATCAGGCACCCGGGGCTGGCGTCTTCACACACATCCTGTCCGCTGCCTCACCATATATGCACAACATGATGCACGCATTTAACAGTATCTTTTTGAAAAGTATTTGCTCCTGTGTGATATCGAGATGCCACTATGATTTTATATTTGTCACAGTGGTGAGTCTAGGGTGAGACACACAGCCTGACAAGTTCTGACTACATATCCTGTTGGTTCACTGTGGCTTCCAGGTAACAATGAACCAATCCTGGATGTGAACACACCTGAGCCTACCAACCTTTTACTTGACATGAACACACACTGACCACTTATTAATCAAACAGGTTTATAAATGTGTATGAGGTCGGTTTAATTTAAACAGCAGCAAACCACCATGCTATAAAAGTACAGGTTCTTTGGAGGAATGCTTTCTCCGAGGTTCCAGGTAATATTTACTGAATGATTGGTAACTAGCGAGAGCAGCGGCAGGTCTCAGACATACCGATGATTTATGTAAAGAATTGGGCATGAGGCCTTATCTGAGCCTGTCTGTATGAATTATGGGAGCAGCTAATAGAAGTTTCTCATACCAACATCCTCCAGGTCAACTGCTCAACATTCTCAGGTTGCCACTGAGCATACGACTCCATAAAGATTAGGTTTGAAACATCCTAGATATTCCTTTTCCCCCCTCCCCTACCGCGAATAAACCATATTTCAGTCTAACTCCAGACTTCGTGTTCTGTCTCTCACCCTATAAGTCATTTTGAGGATATATACTTATATTGTGTTTGACTCAGAGGCTCATGATGTGCTGTTTTCTTCCCAGTGGGATATGGTTTATAGTCTTAATAACCTCTATGGATCAACACCTACTCACTGTTTTACATTTTGCAGGATAGTAGGTGACTTCTGAGTCAGTTTGAATTTTATTTTTAACAAATATTATTTTGAAAGTGGTGGAGAGAAACTTAGTCAAATGCAAGTATTTTATGCAGCTCTAGTCAATGACAATTAATCAGTCCCTCCATTATTTTACAGGCTTTTTTTTGGAGATGGTTGTGGTGTGAAATGTCTAATTACATGGCAGTTTTTCTAAAAGATATTGTGATGCATGCTGCAGTGTTTTTTTAGAGATTCTATTTTTGTAATAAAATTACGGGAACAAGTGAAAGTTCCAAAAATAGTTGCAGTTTTTATACATACAATTCATTAAAATTTGAGGACATCTTGTTCCAGTGAGAATAAAACCACACTGTTTTGAGTTTGTGATTCATACAAGACTACGTTCCCACTATACCGTGCATATTTAATATTTCAGTGCCTGCAATAGATCTGGATGCAAAAACCTCTGTCATCTCTCTCTGGGTGTGATATTGCAGTACAAAAGTGTTTGTCAATCTTTGATTTTCATTTTTTTCCCATTACGTTGCATGCAGTGCAAAACAGTTTACTCTTGCTTTCCTGCAGAACATCGTGAAACTGCCTTGAACAGTCTCGAGCCATAATTTTGGTTGTAAATGTGAATCGTTGATGTCGCTTGTTTGTATTGTCACAACCTCAAGGAAGAGAGTTAGGTGACGTTATGCATGGGTCTGTGACGACTGGTGAAACTCATGGGAACCTATGATGATTGGTCAAATTATAGAAAAGTTAATTGGACAAAATTGCAAGGTCACGCAGAATTCACAGTGATTGGTTGCATCTGCATTAATAGTTGTGATGGAGACATCGCAACAGCTTGAAAGGGGCTGAATGTTAACATGTAATGTAAAAAGCGATGAACTCTCAGCGCATCGTTGCTAATGCTACAGTTCCCGTCAGATCTGGTTTCACAGCTCACAGCTTTACTGTTGTGGTTCACTCTCTCTGCTTTCATCAACCTTGCTTCAGCAGCAGTAGGCAGCTCTTCTCACCATAAAGCTCTGATAAACCCATAGGACACTTCACTTATTTAGGAGGAATTTAGGAGCTTAAGAGCCAGGTGTTTTTTTAAAGGAGCTTGGTGGAGACCAAAAGGAGCAAAAAGGAGAGTTAATATTGGACTTAAATTCATCAGGTGGTCAAAGCATGAGTCCAAATGAATGCTAATGTTGCTCCTTATCTGCTTGATGTGAAATCAGCTTAGACTGTAAAAAATAATGGACATAACCACCGTGGCGTCCCACATTAGTTTGTGGACTCTCGTTCTGAGGCCTGAGTTTGGCATTTTGGCCGTTGCTATCATGGATTTTTGAAGCCAGAAATGACCATATTTGGATGAGTGGATGTAGCTGTGAAAAGAAGTGAGGGGTGGATCTGACTACGGGGATATATTAATATTGATTTCTTTATATGAGATTAGACGTAGTCTTAGATTTTGGATTTTGTAATATAAGTGTTGTCCTCTCCTGGTTTTAAGAGTGCACTGCAATAAAGTGACAGAATTTTCTGAACATACTGTTCTAGCAGTTTCTATCATTTGCCTTCACCCATTTAGCTACTTTACTGATTATTTATCAAAAATCTCTTTGTGTATTTATTTTGTGAAAACACCAATGGTCAACCCTACAAAACTGTTACAATATCGATATCAAGGTATTTGTTCAAAAATATTGTGGTAGGCCATTTGATTTTCTCCATATCGCCCAGCCCTGGAAGTTGATGTAGGTGAGAATGGGTGTCGTGTGTTCCCTCTTTTTTTGACCTTGAAGACTGAGTGCAGACTGTAATGGTTACAGGCCAATCCCCAAAAACATATCAGTCTGTAGAATGTAATGTATGATGTATTGTTACAGGCTAAACTAAGCAGCTAAAATGACCTTACCTTGCCTTAAAAAGCTACATTATGCTGCTAAAATTTTACAGAACTTGAATACGCATCTTTACAATAACAGAACACCCAATTATCTTGAGCTTTATTCTTTTACAGTGATAACAGCTTTAATCTGTGAATTGTAACTGCAGAGTTTTTATTTATATCAAAAAAATATACTTTTTTTTTACTTGCATTGGTGCTTTTCCATGAGTAAAATATCTTAATACTTCTTTCCCCACTGTATTTTAACTTTATGATGTATATTTTTGCCAACAAACTTGAGTGCAGGAAGAATAAAATCACTTAAACTTTAACATTTACTTGCTGATAATAATTCTTCATCTTTTAAATATTCTCTGAGAGGAAAGAAAAAATGATTTAACTACAGTTGCTGTTCTTAAAGTTACTAAATACTTGCTGGAGTTCACTCACCTACTTGTCAATATAAAGCTGACCTGCAGAAAATGAGCTTCTGGTGTTAGTGGTGTGTGGTGTGTTGATTTCCCGCTCACTTAATCAGGATCACTAATTAGTGAACAGTGGCTGCAGCTGAGTCAGTTTGCCACAACAAGTTGCCTTCAAAATAAAAGCAGTGGGTATCATGCAAAACTACAGTTTTGATTTCAACATATGCTCCTGATTGCATTATAATCACGACATCAACAAAAATAAACAAATTTCAACCCTAAGTGTTAAATACGTACAAAAATAACCGTTAGTCACTTTGTTTCGGCAGTAAAGTTTTATTGTGAAGGGTGTAACAGGAAGTGAGAGTTGTAAAGTGTCTGGCTTGTCACCGGTGTGCTGTGACCGTCAGAGCTGCTGCAGGTTTGACTCGAGAGCTGTCTCTGCCTACAGTCCTCAAACACAGCACTGCAGCGCCTGTTCATCTCACTGATGGATTAACCCGGAGCTCTGGTGCTATTCACAAACAGGTATGTTTATGTATTTACTTTAGAATACATTTACATTAACATTGACATGCTGAGAAGGACACAGGCTGTTTATTCAAAACTTTTAGCCTTGTTTTAATTTATCTTGAAATAGTTTATGCTGTCATCTATAAAGACACTTATGCAGAAACTAATTAATTTTACAATGTGTCTCCTTCAGTGTGTGTGTGTATTTATCAGGGACAATTGAAGATAACTTTCAGCATTGAAAGACCAGCCCCATATTAGTAGTAGTATTTTTGTATTGTTGTTATTGCTAGTATAGCAGGCATACTATTAATAAAGCAGTAGTTGTGACATTAGTAGCAGCAGCAGCAGCAGCAGTTTACTAGTGTACCACATTTCATACATGGATATGACTTAAAATGAACTACCACTGCTAAACTGGTTTAAGTATCATCACAGTCAAGAGTAGTAGTGGTTATGGTAGTCAGAGCTGTAGAAGTATTTCCGTAGTGCAGCAGAGCAGTTAAAGTATTACATCAGAGCTATAAATAATAATGACATGAGCATTAGCACTTGTTTTTAAGGTAGCCCACATGTAGTAATAAATGTATCAACAGAACTTGCAGTATTTGATTAGGGTTGGGCAACATATATAGGACACTCTATCATGGTATATGTAATGTTATATCACAGTATCAGCATATGTTGTAGCGTTAAAGCAGTTAAAATGAACAGAGAATATATGATGTAACGACACAGGAATGTCTTTCTGTAATACATCAGATTATGTACCTGACATGTCAAAGTGCTTCAACATATCAACACAAAAATCCTGTAGGATCTAATACTGCCATAAATCAGTCCCGCTCATTGATTGCAACACCCTCCCCTGTGACCTCACACACAAGCAGAAACATTTAAGGAGTAGTTACTGCAACGTAAATGTGTTTCCAGAATCTCTGATGGTGGATAAATGTTTGTCTCAGTTTACGCTGTCATATAGTCCAATCATAATATATTAGCCGCCACTAGGACGATATTTATGACCAAATACCTCAATATTGGAACGGCAATTAGGGCTGCAAGTAAAGATTATTTTCATTGTTGACTAATCTGTTGATTATTTCTTCGATTAGTCGACTAATGATTTTATCGAAAAATGTGTTAAAATGTTGAAAAATGTTGGCCTGTCTCTCCCAAACCCCAAAATTATGTCATCTAATGTCTTGTGTCGTACTCACACCAAAGGGTTTTAGTTCAGCGTCATAGGAGAGTGTGTAAAGCTGCCAATATTTGAACGTAAGAAGCTGCAATAAGAGCATTTTGGGGTACTTTTATAGTACTTTTCTATGAATCAACCGATTAGTCGACGACTAAAATAGTCACCAATTAATTTAATAGTAGATTAGTCATCGATTAGTCGATTAATCATTGCAGCCCTAATGGAAATGACTGTTATTGCTTTCACAAAATATGTACACAATGGTATTTTCGATCAATACTCTTCAGTAATGTGGATATAATGACTAAATGGGTAAAGGCAAATAATAAGTTCAGAAAATTGCATCATTTTCCCGCAATGCAGCCTTTAAACCCAGGAAAAGACAAAACTTATATATCACAATATCCAATATCTAAGACGATATCTTGTCTACTATCAATATGCTATCCATGTAACATCAATACGCTGCCCTGCCCTACCTCCTACTAGCAGCAGTAGTATTCATGTCATTACAAGCAGCACTGGAACACAGTCGTGTCAGTATTAGCTGCAGCAGTAGATGTTTCAAGAGCCTTCATAATAGTAACACTACTTCGAGCAGTAGAACATGGTGATAGGTGCAGCAGTTGTAGTTGGTAGAAGCAGATGTAGGTACAGAAGAAGAGGTAATAGTGATGATGTCAAACAGCAGCTGTGATTATAAAGTGTGACCTCAGCTGAAACAGAGAGCTGAGCTGAGTGACCTGTGAACCTGTCTAGGATGCTGAAGGAATCCTCCGTGAGCAGTCACTGCAGTCTTGTCTCCCTCTTGTGTCCGTGTGACATCATGACTACTCATGACTGACTGGGATTAAGTGATGCTCTGTGGCTCATGTCAAAGGACTGATGCTGTCCATTGGTAAGTCTCATAGTAGCATAATTATAATATCCTCTATATTTCCCCAGGCTGAGCAGCTGGACCGAACAATGACCATGCGGTGGCTCCTGAAGGTTTTGATCCTTACTCTGGCCCTGTCGAGCCCAACCAGATGCCAGAACAGAAGGAGGAAAGGACAGAGAGATGATAACCAGGTCATCGTCAGTGAGGCCAAAAGTAAGTGTTTTAAACAGCGATGGCATGTATTAGTGCTGTATATAACCTCATCCAAAGATACAGTGCTCATACAGATGTTATCCTACAGTTTCATCATCTGAACTCAAAGTCTTGCATTCATTGTAAGTACTAAGTGTGTTTGTGTATGTGAGGTGTTAAATAACCTAAAAGCAGCAATTTCTTTTATCATGTAATTGCAGAAAAAGGTCAGTCAAATTAAAAATGTTGATCTTTTCAGGGAATTTAAAGGAATATGTGTATGTATACACTGTAACACCGACTGGCTGCAGAGTTGATGCTGATTTAATGTCACATTATGACCATTATGCAGTGTTGTAGTCTAGATGACCGAAAATTGAGACCAATTCATGACCAAGACAAGTGTATCAAGATAAGACCGAGACTTTTAGGGGTTTAGACCATGTCGAGACCAAGACCAGGCTCGTGCAAGTCCCACAGTGGTAGGTATGGCAGTCTTACGAGTATGCAAACCATAGGCTCTCCTCAAATTGACTGGAAAGATCTACATTCCTGTAAAAACACAGATGGAAGACGTATAATGTCATACTAGGTCGACTGGTAGGTTACAGAAGAGGAAGTGGGTATACTCTCCTATAGCTCAAATAAACACAAGAAATGTGTGCTCTAGAGAAAGGATCAGCACTTAGTGAATAACCTCCTAAGCCCTATGATAAGCTATTATGGCAAGGCTTAACTATACAGACCAGTGAGCAGTTATAACTAACACGTCTTTGGGGTCATCGGGTGGGAACCTCCTTTCACCATTGTTTTGTCTAGATGGTCCCACGACACCTCCAGGAGGCTAAACAATGATCTCTGGCGTCCCAGAGACACTCCCCTAATGCCAACTCTCACTGCTCCCCGCACCAACCTAACAGTGAATGATGGGGTATACTGTAAACAGCTAGACAAAGAGGTGGTTATACCCTGTATGCCCTTTTTTTTACCTTGATCCGATAACATTGGTTAGGTTCCATTGCAAATCCATTCATGAGTTTTCAAGGTGTCTTGTCACTGACAAAAAGTTAAACCCAGTGGTAGCATAAAATGAGAGATCAGACGTTTACCAAAGTTCACGAAATCCATTCAGAATCATCCTCTGTTCATCATGATTATTTATCATGGTATGGTATCAGAATATAAGCCTGTTGTGTTTTGGCTCCTGTCCAGCCCTCATCTGCCCAGTGGAGATCATGTTCATCGTGGACAGCTCAGAAAAAGCCAAATCTCTGCTGTTTGAGCGTCAGAAGGACTTCATCCTGCGCTTCAGCACCAAGCTCATGAAGCTCCACTCGGCCGGCTGGCGTCTGCGTCTGCGCCTGGCCGCTCTGCAGTACAGCAGCACTGTGTCAGTGGAGCACAACTTCAGAGACTGGCAGGACCTGGACGTCTTCCAGAGCCGGGTGGCCTCCATGACCTTCATCGGCCACGGCACCTACTCCGCCTACGCCATCACCAACGCCACCCAGATTTTTGGCCGAGAGACGTCCTCCAACAGTCTGAGGGTGGCACTGTTGATGACGGATGGGACGGACCACCCGCGCAGCCCCAGCGCTGTGACGGCTGCTGCTGAGGCCAAACAGCAGAACATCAGGGTGTTCACCATCAGGCTGTCGGAGGTGCCCAGGGACGGTCCCATGAATACAAAACTGAGATCCATTGCCAGCGCCCCCCCACAGCAGCATGTCCTCAGCCTCGCCGACAGCCAGCTGGATGACAAACTCTTCAATGAACTGGTCAGTCATGTCTGTGTCAGGGTTGTGTTAGAGGTCTTCAGTACATTCTCAAGTTTCACTGATGATGTTGCACTTATAAATCTTCTGGCATTCGTAAGGAAAACACAGAATGCACAGTAGATACTCACATTGACCATAAAATAGACAATTGAAACAGTTGAACAATGAAATTGAAAACACTCATCCTCCCCATTTAGTTCAATGAGACCACTATGTGGCATAACAGGCGCCACTGAGGTTGGTCGCTCAGGCAAACAACAGGGTAGTGTGACAAAAAAGACAATGCAAGTTTCAAAACATGAAACAAGACTTTGCAAATGTTACATGAAGATGAACATGGGTTAAAAGTAACCAGCGTTTTTTGTATACAATGAAAACTCAGGGTACCTTTGAATACGAATGACTGGATATGACACAGTCCCCCAATCCCAATTGGATCCCTTACAGACTCGTTGACTCAAGCCCTAAGCCCTTACAGACCAAGGACCAATTCCATGTCTTCCCCTTAGCCCTTGTCTTGGCCCCTCCCCTTGGTTTTGCACGTTCACGTGAGGGGAAGTGGTGTCCCAATTCTCCATTAAGAGGTTAAGAGCTAACCTGACGGAGAATTGGGACACCACTTCCCCTCACGTGAACGCACAAAACCAATGGAAAGGGCCAAGACAAGGGCTAAGGGGAAGACATGGAATTGGTCCTTGGTCTGTAAGGGCTTAGGGCTTGAGTCAACGAGTCTGTAAGGGATCCATTTGGGATTGGGGGAGTATCTCTAAGGCAGTGATACTCAACATTTGGCCTGTGGGCCATATATAGGTCTGCCATAGGGTACTGGGTGGCCCTCTGGCCAATCTCTAATTGACAATGGAATTATTCTGATTCACAGTGAGATTTTGTTTTGTACTTTAAATATAAATAAAGTGCCAGTGGAGGACCCTCCAACCCCCCAACAGAAGAACATGCTAAGCTCTGAATGTCCTCAAATCCTAGCAACACCCCTGCATGCACCTGACTTGTGCAGGGCTGCTGCGACAGGTTTAGGCCCTGTTGTTTTGCAAGCGTGGCCCCTGGGCAAAGCAAGCTGAGAATCCCTGCTACAAAGTTTATTGTTTATGATTTCTGCACGATCAGATCATGAACTGTCTAACTGTCTTTTTTCCCCCTTTCAGAACACAATTGTCAGAACTGGGGTAAGTACTGTGAACTCTATCATGAATATTTACTCACATTAGGGGTGTTGTGATGTATCAGTATTGTCGATAACAGTGCTATTTGAAATATTAAGTACTGATATCATGTTAATTATCCAGCACCTCTAAAATAATTTCTGTCTCCCTCTTTACCTCTCTATATTTTAAGTGTAATTCTTGTGTCCAAAAAGAGATGAACGCAAAGCAGAGTAAAGATGAGCTCGACTGATAGCATTAATGTTACTATTATCTAAAATTTTCTGGAGATACTGCATTAATATTGTTATTGTGAATTCTTTTGGCCACAGTAATGATGTAGTGAAATTCGGATATCGTACCAGCCTGAACTCACATGATCATTTTCTCTTTTATTATGATTAAGAATAATGTTTTCCTTTGATGGCCAGGATTTTTGCTTTGTTGTTTCTTCTGTTTCATTTTTTTCCTCTTTTGCTTTAAATGTAAAGCACATTGTTGATTATTCTGTTGTCTTTCTATCTTTTCCCAATGTGCAGAGAATAATTGTGCTGCTCACAATAGTCTTTTTGTCTCATCAGAAATAAATCAGTTTGTTATATGGAGATTACTAAATTCTGAACTGTTTCTCCTCATAGTAATAAGGAGCGAAAGAATAAAGCAGAAGGAGTTCTTTTGCTGTGCTCAGAGGTTTCTCAACTCGGAGAACAGATAAAATACACAAAGTCGAGACTTGAATTTGATCACTGAAATTGTGCAGGCTCAATCAAGTTTTCTTTTGGATCTTACTGTTATCTCAATAGTAGTTCAGAAAAATATAGATGACTGCAGTGAGAAATTAAATTAAATTGGGCTCAGTATCGGGCTGAGACAAGAGGAAGGCTATTTCTCAGGAGCTGAATTCAAGAAGTATGAGAAAATGGTCATATTGGTGTTATATTGAGCTCAGCTACAGTCAGGTCCATAATTATTTGGACAATGATACAGTTGTCGTCATTTTGGCTCTGTACACCACCACAATGGGTTTTAAATGAAACAATGAATACCTGCTTAAAGTGCAGACTCTCAGCTTTCATTTAAGGCTTTTTTCAAAAATGTAGTATGAACCGTGTAGGAATTACAACCATTTCTTCACACAGTCCCCCGACTTTAAGGGCTCATAAGTATTTGGACAAACTAACATAATCATCAATTAAACAGTCAGTTTTAATACTTGGTTGCAAATCCTTTACAGTCAATGACTGCCTGAAGTGTTGGACACATAGGCATCATCAGATGCTGGGTTTCTTCCCTGGTGATGCTCTGCCAGCCCTTTACTGCAGCCGTCTGCACTTCCTGCTTGTGTTTTGGGTGTTTTGCCCTCAGTTTTAGCTTCAGCAAGAGAAACGCATGTTCAATTGGATTCAGGTCAGATGATATGACTTGGCCATTGCAGAACATTCCACTTCTTTGCCTTAAAAATGTCTTTGGTTGCTTTTGCAATATGCATCAGGTCAATGTCCATCTGCACTGTGAAGCATCGTCCAATGAGTTTTGAAGCATTTGGTTGAATCTGAGCAGATAATGGTGCCCCAAACACTTCAGCTTTCATCCTGATGCTCTTGTCAGCAGTCACATCATCAATAAATACAAGAGAACCAGTTCCACTGGCAGCCATACATGGCCATGACATAACAGTACCTCCACCATGCTTCACTGATGAGGTGGTGTGCTTTGGATCATGAGCAGTTCCTTCCCTTCTTCCTTCTCTTCTCTTCCCATCATTCTGGTAGTTGATCTTTGTTTTATCTGTCCATAGTATGCTGTTCCACAACTGTACAGGCTTTTTAGATGGTTTTTGACAAACTCTAATCTGGCCTTCCATTTTTAAGGCTAACCAATGGTTTGCATCTTGTGATAAACCCTCTGTATTTATTCTAGTGAAGTCTTGTCTTGCTTACAAGAGCAGCAGGATGAAAGCTGAAGTGTTTGGGGCACCATTATCTGCTCAGATTCAACTAAATGCTTCAAAACTCATTGGACGATGCTTCAAAGTGCAGATGGACAATGACCTGAAGCATATTGCAAAAGCAACCAAAGACATTTTTAAGGCAAAGAAGTGGAATGTTCTGCAATGGCCAAGTCATATCATCTGACCTGAATCCAACTGAGCATGCGTTTCTCTTGCTGAAGCCAAAACTGAGGGCAAAACACCCAAAACACACACAGGAAGTGCAGACGGCTGCAGTAAAGGGCTGGCAGAGCATCACCAGGGAAGAAACCCAGCATCTGGTGATGTCTATGTGTCCAACACTTCAGGCAGTCACTGACTGTAAAGGATTTGCAACCAAGTATTAAAACTGACTGTTTAATTGATGATTATGTTAGTTTGTCCAAATACTTATGAGCCCTTAAAGTCGGGGGACTGTGTGAAGAAATGGTTGTAATTCCTACACGGTTCATACTACATTTTTGAAAAAAGCCTTAAATGAAAGCTGAGAGTCTGCACTTTAAGCAGGTATTCATTGTTTCATTTAAAACCCATTGTGGTGGTGTACAGAGCCAAAATGATGACAAGTGTATCATTGTCCAAATAATTATGGACCTGACTGTATGTCTAGGAGAAAGAGACTGGACAAAGAAGAGATCTTATTTTGAATTTTCATTTCCTCTGGGTGTCTTTATTCCAGTGCCCACAGCCAAAGACCTGTCTGTGTGAGAGGGGGGAGAGAGGTCACCCTGGCAGCCCGGTGAGTATACTATAGTATGCTCATTTAAATCACCACTTAAACATGTTTTGTAATGTATTTTGTAGCAAATGTACCCCCTGACATTTTCCTATGAATGATAGTAGTGGTAGTGTCTGCTGGCTGCAGGTTAGCAGTCACTTCCTCAGCCACACAGAGCCCAGTAAGCCTCACACAGAGGCTTGTTATCCCTGAATAGCGGGGGATTCTCCCACCCTCAGTCAGTACCAGGGCTGGTGGCCTCCCCTAGCAGGTGCATCTGGCGCGCCTCCAAAGCACTACAGGGAAAAAGATTTGAAAGAGCAGGAATTGTTTCCCACAATGTAAGTGTAGCAGGTGGTGCAGGGGCCAGCTGAAAGGGCTGTTTTCACTGGTAGAGAGGCCCGTGGAAAGAAGCAAAGGTCAACGATGGAAGATTAAACATATGCAAACACACTGGCTGAGAAGACCTGAGAACCTGCTGCACTGAGGTGGAGGTTTATATTGGACAGGGGTTACAGACAGGTCGCCCTGAGAATGCCCTATCTCACCTTTGCCTATACACACACAGAGTCCAAACTAAAAGGGGCCCAAATATTCTCGTTCGGCACAATCTCTCCCTTTTCTTTCATCCAGGGGAAACCAGGCGAGCCAGGGTCTGATGGAGCTCCAGGTCCAAAGGGATCTCGCGTAAGTCTCTATTGTCTCCATAATCCAGCGCTGGTAACAGAAAGAATCCATGAAGTGGTGTTTGATGTGCTGTTTTGTCTGGGCTCGGTCACTGTAGGGGGAACCTGGCATTAATGGACGTCCAGGGATGGAGGGCCTTGAGGTAATCACTGAATATTTTTCTCAGCCTTCCCTTGGGTCAAGCTGTAAATCTGAGTATGGTATTCTTTTGTATTCTGTTTTGATGAGCATAGAGGGAGCTCCAAACAGATTATACTGACCCTTTCCTTCATGTTTTACCCTTCAAACACTGTACAGTTAAATGATGTATTCTATTTATCAATTTACCAGGCAATGTTGAAGGAGCTTTATGCAAAGTTCAGAGCGTATGAGATGTCTGGAGACAGTTCTCAACATGGAGGTGGCTAGCGGCTCACTGTGCTAATTTCATTAACAGTGCTAAACAATGACAACAGAAATGACAGTGCTAAGAGTGTTAAACCATAGACCTCATAAAATATTGGACGCAGCCAATAGCCACCATGACATCACCCCTTGGTTTGCAGACTCCCATACTATAGCCTCGAGTTTGGCACTTTGGCCATCGCCACTTTGTTTTTTTTGAAGCCAGCAGTGACCATATTTGGACAGTAGTGGAGATACCTTTTAAGCTAGCTGCTATCTTAGTTAGCACCTTGCATTTTCATCTATGATTAACTATGTCAATACTATACCTAATACTGATTTTTGGTAGTGTAAAACAAAAGGTAGGCTATTTACTGGAAAAACTGAATGTCTGACTCCTTATAGGGTCTTTTAATAGAAACAAATACTGAACAAGACTTTTTTTAGGTGACCAAAATGTTGCAATTACCTAGCCTGGAAATCCAGACCGAAATCTAGAAAGATTAAGGGTCTGGCAATGAGTAATGCAAATGGCCCAACTCGAGGGGCGGCACCAAGCATTCATTTGAAAATATCACTGCACGCAATTGGATAACACCACGACCAATCAGAACAATAAACAGGGTGACGTATACTCTTAGCAACCAGCGGAGCTAACTAGTAGATTAGACTCTTGCCGTATCCGGTAGGCAAAACAGCAAAAACGTCCTTCTTGCAAAGGAAAGATTCGAGCGCCGTCTTCTGTTCGTCTTTTAGAGAAAAAGCCAAGTCTAACTCGTTCATTGTAGCGGACAAAGCCGTTTCAAACAACTGGTGTTCATCAGTAGCCATCTTGCAATGTTTACTGACTGATTCCGGACTTCGTCGTCGCAGCGCTGTCGTCATCTGTTTAACTCGCCTCTGGCCCGCCTATATCAGATACGATGGGATTGGTGCAGCTTGGCTCCAGCAGCATGGGTAATGAGCATCATTACTGATTGCCAGAGTGACTCGCTGAGCAAATTCAAATTGTGCTCTCGCGAGAACTCTGGATTTCCAGGGTAGCAATTACCTTTAATGAACTGAAAACATACTGACAATGACAGCTAAGGTATAAGCTATGTCTATACTCTGTGAATCTGGGGTTACGCCATGGTTACGTTGCCATTGTTGCCATTTTAATGACAGCGCCCACCTGTCAAAGTGGCCACACCCTTTATTATGCGATATTTTAAGCCTAAAATTCCCCCCTATACAGTTGTGATGATCGGGAAAATAAGCTTTAGATACCAGACAGTTTTTCATACCAGGCTGTGAACATGTTAAATCCTGCTGTGAAGTTGGGCATTTAAACATTGGAGTCTCTGGAGATTGACTCGCTTCTGGAGCCAGCCTCAAGTGGCCATTAGAGGAACTGCAGTTTTTGGCACCTCAGCTTTGGCTTTATTTTTAAGCCCATCAATATCTTTACATAGCAAAAAGTTGTTTGCCACTCCATTACTGCTCTGAATGTTGCAAACCGAACCTTCAAAGTCTTCAAGTTTTAGGTTATGTATCTTTCACACTTTGTGTAACATTTTGGGAAGCATATCCATTTGCTTCAAGATGAATCTACTCTCTATGCATTAAGTACAGGAACTGAGAGGCAAGCACACTAGCTCTCTAACAACATCTGATCCATTTTTGGTCAATCTTCAGCTATAGCACAGCTTTATAAGTCACTGTTCAGTTGCAATGTAACTTCTGACAACCTCACAGTGATGACAAGAATAAGACATCACTGTGCCCAGCTGTTTTCACCCAAGTAATGAAATTTTGGCAGTTAGTTTCCTCCTGCTTCCATTCATTATGTTAGCTAATGATCACCTCCTGATAACACACAGACATGATGGAAGTATTTTATTTTTTCTCTCACTCTGGAGGAGTACATTTATATCCTGATATGTTAATTAACTAACTTCACAGGTAAATACAACTTATATATAATTTACCAAATAAAACCATCTATAGCATAATCTGGACAGAATCCATTTTTCTTATTATATAAAACTTTTTGCCATCTATAAAATCTCCTGTCACTTTAAGTAGTGCTGTTTGGTGCTGGTTTGGTGACTTTCTACCACAGTAACATGATGTCTGATATATGATTTTAATTAAAATTTTCCTTTTTATAGGGTCGACCTGGCAGCAAAGGGGAAAAGGTATGTATGTATTATTATCATCATTATTATAATTATTGATATCAGACATATATAAAATACGATTTTTATTCGTGATAACTCACCACTGCAAAATGCAGGTAGAAATTATGTCTACATTATTGCTATGCCTTTTTAAGAGCTCTGTGATTTACACAGAGGTGACAGAAAATAAGATCTGTGCCCAACAACACTTTTATGATTTTTCACTGCAGTCGCCAAAAGTAAAAAGTTAATGTTAGACTATAAACGAATTACACTGCAGATGCATGACTGAAGCCGTGTTCAGCTTGATGACGTTTCGTCTCATTGAGCTACTTTTTAGGACCATTTTTGGACTTCTTCCTGCAGCACTTGACTGCACAGCCTGCAGACGTTATGAGCAATGTCAGACAGTTTGACTTGGCTCAGTGTCCAGCTTTCAGTGTAACTCTCTTGTATCTTTACTGGTTGTATTTCCTAGGGAGAACTGGGTGAATGTGGTGTCCCCGGTAAAAAGGGAGAACAAGTAGGTTTCAGTATTTATTTATTTATTTAATCAACATTATGACTTTTTTCTGTGGCCGAGAGCAGTCTGTAAATATGATGATGCTTCTGTCTTCAGGGTGCAGGTGGGCCTCCTGGCCCCAGAGGAACCAGAGGAGAGCAGGTGAAGCTTTGAACTTTTAATTTGTCTTTGGGTACATTAAACACCAATGTTACGTTCTGTGATCATTGTGGAGTCCAGAAATATTCAAGGAGTCAATTTTGGTCAAGGTTGGTCATCTAGCAGTGAGGTTGCAGACTGTATCCAACTGAAAGTCCCCCCATGAACAAAATGTCTCTACTATGGTGGTGGACATGAAAACATGAATTGCTCTATCTAGAGTCAGTGTTTGGTCACTTGTTCAGGGCTACTGTAGAAACAAACGTGGACTTCCTGGAGGTAGACAGAGCCAGGCTAGCTGTTTCCCCTTGCTTCCTGTCTTTAAGCTAGGCTAGGCTAGGCTAACTGCATCCTGACTCCAGCTCCGTATTTAATTGGCAACGACCTTTAATGTTTATGTGTCATGTAAAAGCCTGATATCCCCATCAAGCAGTGCACCTATAAACACAGACAAATAAGGCAAATTTTAATATAGAAACTGAAGAGACCTCTCTGTGTATGAACCTTCATACCTGAATGGGTGTGTGGTCAAATTGAAAGATTCCTGTGTCCCCCCACATCCGCGCTGGAACAATCAGCGCTGCAGTGAAAGCCACACACTCTGAGTCCATCTCCTGCTCTGCACTTGTGGAATGTGAGCTGTGGATTAGGTCTTATCCCCTTCCTAATGTAGCCTTTCCAAAGCGGGGAATCCAAGCTTGCAATGTTTGGTTGTAGTCTTTCAGCAGACGTTGTCCCAGAGGATTAGGATTTGGGCACATGTTATCCATTCCCTCTCTTCTTAAATGCTTGTTGCCCCCTTCAGCATCAGTAGAACAACAGCAGCCTTCGTCAGTGTCATTAGGTTTTACGTCTTTCTGATCTGTCTCCAGTTCCCATGAAATGTACCTATGCACACTGTCAAAATGTATTCATAAAACTGGAATACCAGAGTATACACCATCACAGTATCAGTGTCCACCAGTCCTTAAACAGCTGGAAAAAGGCTCTGTGCAGTTTATCTTATGTCAGTTTTACACCTTCAATTTATGAAATTATCTCAGTTTGAACGACCAGCTGGTGTTTGTGCATGTTTCGGCACATTTACAACAAATCACATCTATTTTACGTTTCATTTTCCAAAGCATGCTTTTGCCTGGAGCTTCAGTACAAAAACACTAAAGTCACTCAGTACAGTAAAGGATTGTAATAGCAATGTCAGTTTCTCAAATGGGGGTATGCAAACACCTAGGGGTACGTGAAGGTACTGCTGGAGGGACGTGAGAGAAAGTTGAAAATGGAAAATATAAGAATAAATCATGAAAATACTGCGGGTTTTTAAAAATAATACTAAGATTTAAAACACCAAAAACTTTTTTTTTTCTTTTTTACACTTTTCTAAGCAAAATGTCGTAGTCAAGAATTCAGGAAAAGAGAGCACTAAAGCCAAAATAGTTTCAGAACCACTGGTCTAGTTTGAGGAGTCCAGTGGCTAACTGTACTTCCTGGAGCCTTTCCTACTTTACAATCTCCTTGTAACTGGTGGCCCTTTCTGTTGTGCTGGTTATTAAAAAGACCTATGTAAGGAATCAAATCTAACACCGACAACTGTAGATTTATTTTCTAGTAATTATGTAGTTTATGCTAATTAAATGTTCCTAACTGCAGCTGAGCAGATGTATAAAATGCAGTGGGTGTTCACTCAGGTAGTAGATTCATTAAAAATGATAGACCATTAAACAATAATTTTTAATGCCAGCTAAATTCTTAAAACCCACGTACACTTGAAAAGTAAATACAATATATATTTAATTAAAGAATAAAAAATAAAAAATTAAAATGATTAATTACTACTACTTATTTTATTTTATTTGTATTTAGAATATTTATTTATTCATTTTCATTATTTATTTTATATTTTAATTTAGTTTATTTCATATTTCATTTCATATTTATTTTGATTATTTATTTATTATTTTAACACATTTTTGTTATTATTTATTTTACTTATCACTTTATTATTTTTATTTTTATTTATTGGTGATGTAATCAAGGTATTTTTCTGGGTTGTCACTTGTTTCAATCTTTTAACTTGCACTGTGTACAGTTGTAGCTTTTAAAAATTGTCACTGTACTGGTACAATGACAATAAAGGACTTCTATTCCTTTCTATTTTATTCTTCATATTGATCCCTTTTCTAATTTCCACTCTAAATGTTTACATCTCACAGTCTCCCAGATCTACAGAGTAGAAAGGGTCAAAACATTGGGGAAAAAAAAGACCTAAACCCCCAATAAATGTAAAAAAAAAAAAAAAAAAAACCCCTCTGGTCTTTGATTTAAGTGAAGGTAACTGGTCAAACTCAAAAATGCAAAAAGTAGTTTAGATTGTATTAAATTAAAATGTCCAATATTTAATGTAATAATAAACTTATAACTTCATGATTTCAGTTGTTCTTTTATGATGTGATGTTGAATATCTGTGGATTTATCACATTTAAAGTTGAAATCTGTGTCAGAGCTTCACATGGAGGAAACACTCACACACTTCAGTCACACTCCTCTTAGTGTCCAGCAGAGGGCAGTCACTCTTCACTAGCCAGTGCCACACACACACACACACACACACACACACACACACATTGTTCCCAATGTTTTAAATGTCAAATATATGTGTCATGCATGATTAACAGGTACATTAAAACATGCGCAGCCCTGAGAATTAAAAAGCATTTAAAGTAATGTCTGTCTGTCCAAATATACCAAAGATATTGATTAGCTGGTAAAGAGTTTATGTTTTTATCAGTGATTTCTTTTCATGTTATTTTTGTATTCATGTGTATTTACCTTCCCCTTGGTTTCAGGGATCCAGGGGAGTATCTGGAGACCAGGGTCCAGAGGGGACACCTGGATCTAAAGTAAGAACACTGGCAATCAAGTTTCAAACATGTCAAGTAAATAAGTTTGTTCACAACTGCTGTAAGCACATTTGTAAGTGTCTTTTTTGTAGCCTAAAAGGGTGACCGAGGTCTGAGGGGTGCACCTGGACCTCCAGGAGATAACGGCATTGGGTTCCCTGGTCCCAAGGTAAATCTGGGTTCAGTTAGATAATTCATATAATAAAGAACACTTTCCTACTTCAGTGTCTGCAGGAAGGCCAGTGTGTGTGTCCTGAGTACATGTCAGATTATCTCTAATCTTTAAGCTTTATCTTTTAGGGTGACAAGGGGAACCAGGGAAGACCAGGCCCCCCTGGACCGATGGGTATGGGTGAACCAGGGACACTGGTGAGTTCACAAAACTAAGTGAAACTACAGTGTTGTTATAGCCAATATAATGCTATCAGCCTGAGCTACTTAAGACTTTTTGTTATCAGTATGTGTTTTTATTTTGGAACAGAGACATGTTGTTAAATCTAGTCCACTCGTATACAAAATACTGTGTTCCATCCCAAGAAATATTGAAGTTTCACAGTTTATGATTGTTTAAAATTAATGGAAGTTGGCATGGAATTAAAATTAGAATTGTTTTATAAGCAGCTGTGTACAATGGGAACAGTCTAACATTACCACTATTGAACTTTTAAGGATGAAATTTAAGACATTACATTGGAAATCATTATTTTTTAAATTTATTTATTAATGATCTATTATTAACAATTAATTTATCATCATTATTATTATTATAATTATTATTAATTATAATGTATTTTTTTAAAATTTCACTTTGACCAACTCAATTTGAGCAAATTGAATTATTTATTTATTTATTTATTTATTATTATTGGGCACTGGGCTTCTGTAAGAATTTCGTATAAATTTCAAACTTTGAAAGTGAAATATTTTAATGCGATTTGGTATAACTTAAATTTCAACATTAAATATTCAGCAGTGGTTACATTCATTTTTTATTTATGTATTTCTTTTTCTTCATAATTCAGTTTCTTGCAAACTTCAAATAATTTTGTCCTTCCTTTGCTTCCATAGAAATTCAGTTTAAATGGCCAGTCCACTCAAATGCCCCCAAAACGCATTATGTCACTAATGCATTGTGATTGTTCTAAAAACTAAACTGCAACATGTTTTTTCCATAAATGTCCCAAATACTCAGGATAAGCCATAAACTAAGTGACTTTTTTCCTTTTCCTTTTCTGTTGAGTTTTGCTTTTCAAATGTAATTGTTCAATGCTCTGAGCAGCATAAACACACTTAAATGTATCTCCATTGTATTGTGAAGGCAGCAGTGGAAAATAAATCTTGAACTGACCCTTTAAAACATGTGACGTATTGTTGGCAGTGCAGCTGTTTCTCCATCGACTAACCTTGTGTTACTGTTGTGTTAATGTCATAGTGTGTCCAGTATATGATTACTACTGTAATGTAATGTCTGTTAATTCAGTATTGAATATTTACTATCTTTGTGTCGATGTGTTTAGGGTCCAGCAGGGCCACCAGGGATGCAAGGATCACCAGGGTTTCCAGGTGAGGGTCTGCCAGGGCCCAAGGTAAGTTCCAGGACAAGATGGTTCATTACAGCTCATTTATTTATCTTTTATTTAAGACAGTCTGCAAAGTGTTGGGATAAACATTTCCAAAACAATCATAAATATCTTAGAAAATATAGGATGTGGCATATTAGTGAGACTAACTCCTGTGTGTTTCTTGCAGGGCGACAGAGGGTACGAGGGTCCCAAAGGGAGCCGTGGACCTCCAGGAGTCGGGTACAAAGGTGATAAGGTACGGTTAAATGTTAAGCATGGTAAGGACCGCAGACACATGTGTCGTAAAAAAGAAACCTGTGATGCTGTAAAGGTTGACCTGTCTGACCTCTCACCTGTCTGACCCTCAGGGGAACACAGGGGCCCCGGGGCTGCCGGGCTTGGTGGGGTTTCCAGGGGCAGGCGTGCAAGGAGAAAAGGCAAGGCTAATGAAAATGTTAGGAATTTACTACCCCGATTTATCCTTTACTTTTGTAGCTATATTTTAAATGCTGATGTTTCTCTCTGGTTTTAGGGGGACCAAGGGCCAGCTGGGCCCTCTGGACCCAGAGGACCTCCTGGCCTGGGTATAGTTGGACAAAAGGTCAGTAGCAGTTTGTAGTAGAGAGCTGACACTGTAGCTTTGATGCTATTAAAAAGAATCAGTTTGGATAACATTAATTTCATGAGAAGAAAAATACAGTAAAATAAATGACTTAAAGCGAGACTGTGTGAAATGTGAAAGAAGAAAAAAGACCAGGCGTCACATTATTGTCATGCATCTGTCATTTAATGTGATTATCAGTGAGTGATTTCTGTTGCTTCCCAGGGTGACCAGGGTTTCCCCGGAGAGCCTGGACCTCAGGGCGAGAGGGGTGTTGGTGAGCCAGGACCAAAGGTACAACAACCAGACTCAGCTTGAATGAGCAGCGTTAATAAGACGCACAGTGTGGATCTAAAAGTGTTGAGTGTATGTGTGGATTTCCAGGGGGAGCCAGGGCCTGATGGAGCTGCTGGGATACCTGGGATTCCTGGTGAGGATGGAGCTGTTGGGCCTAAGGTGAGTCGCTGACTGGAGGTCAGAGGTCACAAATTGTAAAATGACATGCTCCAATCTGGAGTTCAGATATTGAACATACCCAATCACCACACAGTTAGTCTGTGTGACATCATGATGCGCTAGAAGACGTGGACGGAAACTGATCCTTCTCTGCATCATGTCCCACCTCAGCATCTTGTTCCAACAGGAATGACATCATAGCTGAAAATCCTGCTCGAGTCACCAAATAAATGTTGCGCCTCGCTCTGCATACACTCACAAGCATCACAAACTCCTGATTCTCTGGAAAATGTTGGTTTGTTAATGCTTTGACGCAATTTGCTCTACTGTCTAATCCAGGGAGAGATGGGATTGCCAGGTCTGCGAGGCCTAGAGGGAGCACCGGGGAAAGGCATTCCTGGAGAAAAGGTAATCCCTCCCAGTCATCGGAGGATATCCTGATTCTTGTTTGTTCATGAACAAGTGTTGCTTTGTTTTAACAGCCCCTGCATGTGAGCTTTAATGCCTCTGCAGGCGACAGAGGAATTATGTTTTCAGGTTTCATCTGTCCTATTCTCACGAATGTGATATCTCAGGAACACTTTTAGGGAATTTCTTTAAATTTTGCATAAGCATCCACTCGGACTCAGGGATGAACTGGTAGAATTTACTGGCTAAAGGTCACTGTGAATTCACAAAACACATTTTGGGCCATAACTCAAGAATATATACACTAAGTGTGACTTTTTTTTTTTTACACAAATGTCTAGTAGGATAAAACAATGAAGTATTGACAGTTTATATCCAAAAGGTCAAAGGTCAACATCACTTTGACATCATGTTCAATGTTCAGTGTGTCATTGTTCTGCAAAAACCCTTTTATGGCCATTATTTAACGCCGTAACTCAAGAACAGAAGAGGAGACATTTGGTCAGATACTGAATTTTCCTAGTCGACCAATAGTCTTCATTTAGGGCCATTAGTTGCATGTTTATGATATTAACTTAATCATTAAATTTCTTCTTCTCGGCGCTCTACCAGGGCTGCAACCATTCTCGGAACTCATCGGCTGTATTCGGCGTCTGACTTCCGGCAGACGGCGATACAGCCTCTGGGGGCAGACCCCCAATTTTTTGGCATTCCGGTTTGATTTGGGTGGAGGAGGCGAATTTCCGTTCCCAACTTCCGTTTATATATAAGTAAATATGCTGAACCATTGCGATGGATTCAGAGTTTGCAGCGACGCCAATTATGTTCTGCCTCGTTAGTTCACCGCACGGACCGTTTAACCTGGCAACAACTGCAGCCGGCTCAAACGTGATTGGTCAATATCACGCGGACTACAAACAGCCTACAACCAGAAACTAGGGCTCTTCCGCTCTTCTTCCGGAGGCAAGATCTTGGTAGTAGCGACGGGCGGTGTGCACAAAGGGCAGGGACTTGATCAACGCGAGCTTATGACCCGCGCTTACTGGGAATTCCTTGTTCATGGGAACTAATTGCAGTCCCCAATTCCTATTACGAGTGGGGTTCAGCGGGGTACCCATGCCTCTCGGCGAAGGGTAGACACACGCTGATCCACTCCAGTGGCGGCTGCTGGTCTTTCAAACAGGGGAAGCTCACTTTAAGTTTACATCATAAAATTTGTCATATTGTAGCGAGGCAGTAACTTATAAAAGGAACATTTAATTGAAGCTGTTTTTCAACCACACTCATGCCATAGAACCACGGCAAAACACACCTCAAAGATTTTCAGATGGGTTTAACGGTGAAAATGAGCTATATCACTTATGGAAATAAGGAACTCTGTCAGAAGACTCCACTTGCAAATATCCGCATGGGACTGAGCTCGGAATGCGACGATGCTGGTGTGTATTTCCAAAGCGCTGTCAGTCACAAAGGGGTTCAGCCTTTTAGACAGTTCCTCCAATCATCATGCAGACGCCTATCGCTCCATTAGGTCCCAGAGAAGCTGAGCCTCCCTGGAAGTGACGATTTTGTCGCATTTATCCAATGACTGTCTCGCTTTGCTGCATGAAAAAAACCTGCTCAGCGCTGTCTCATAGGAATGCTTGGAGGCTCCGTGTCCACCGTGCTGACACGAGAATGTATGACAGGGAGGTCGCGTTTGAAAACTGGTGATAAACATCTGACGTTTGAACATCGTAGTCATGATGTTAAACGCATCCTAGCGCACGTTTAATGCAATGTAAATTCTTATTTTAATGTAAGTTCAATAGTGCATATTTGACCATTTCTTCTATGAAATTTTAGGGGAAGTTCAGCCTCTCTTGTTGTCTCAGAGCAGTCGCCCCTGATCCACTCAGTGTGGCGCGCGTGCAGCCCGGACATCTAAGGGCATCACAGACCTGTTATTACTCAATCTTGTGTGGCTGAACACTTGCCCCTCTAAGAAGTTGGACGCTGACTGCGTAACTAGTTAGCATGCCGGAGTCTCGTTCGTTATCGGAATCAACCAGAGACATCACTACAGCAACTAAGAACGGCCATGCACCACCACCCACAGAATCGAGAAAGAGCTATCAGTCTGTCAGTCCTTTCCGTGTCCGGGCCGGGTGAGGTTTCCCGTGTTGAGTCAAAATTGAGTTTTTTCTGCGACTAAGCGACCGATGAAATCTGACGACTAACGTTCGGTTGACGACAACTATCTTGTTTCTCTGGTAGTCCACTGCAGACTCTCTGGTTTTGCTGATATTGAGCTTCAGGTGATTGTCAGTGCACCATGTGACTCTCTGGAGCTCTGTATCAGTCTTCTGTGCTCTGCTGTAAAAGTAAGCTCACTCAGCATGTATTTACTGGAATCATACGTGTCAGTATAGTGATAACTTCCATTTCACCAAAAAAATAATACACTTAACACCTTCATTAAAGTCCTTCAGAATCTTCACTTCATATATTATATGAGTCTGGACAAACAAACTGCAACTTGACTGGTTGGCAGTGGCATTCAAAAGCGACGCGTACATTCTAGTTTGAACATGCAAGTTGTGAAAAGCCATGTGCGTAAATAGAGTTCAAAGTAGTTAGGTACATATTTACATACCTTTACTGACAATGGCTTCATTGATTTCCGCATGTCTATGCAACGTGGACCTACTGGATTATTGTATTGAGTTATATTGACCTTTCAAATATATGGCGTATGCATTACGACAGCTCCAGGAGTGCCGTATGCCCCACCCCACTGAGCTCAGTGCGTAGTGTGTGCATAATGAGTGTGTGGTGAGTGATGGTGGGCAAGCTCAGAGCAGACAGGTGTGATGCAGAAAGGAAATTAGCAGTAAAGATGTCAAGTGGTTGTAAATGTAGCTTTCAGTTGGTCCGTGGGTTAACACTGCAGCTATTCATGACCAAGAAAAGTTCCCCGTGTCTTGTCTCTCAGCTGCTGGGTGACGTAAAGCTGGTTAGCATCAACCTTCATCCTTGAGCAAGACAAAGGCTCCTAGTTTCCTAACACACTACATGATGGCTGACCATGTAAGTGGGGCTTTGAGTTTAACTGTGACTTCCTAATTTTTGCACACGTTTTTTATTGTTTTTATTTAGAGCTAAGTTGTATCATGAATTAAATTGTGTGTCAGTATTTGCATGCCTTTATGTGATTCATGATATCTTCTCTATCTTCATCCATCCCAGCATACAAAAAATACATGATCATCCTGTTTATGTACATGACACGACCTATGTTAACTCATAATCCTGTACATCAGATAATCCTGATACTCAATTATGTATGAAAGCATATTCACTACTGTATGTGTTAGTGAGTGCAGTGGTGATTAGTTTGTTTACAGTAAACTCGACTACGCCACAGCTGAGACGTAAGACGTCATGAGCATGTGTTTTTCCACAGGGCGATAGAGGCGACCGTGGACCAAGGGGACTATCAGGATCTCCTGGCCCTGTTGGACCTGCTGGAGCGAAGGTAAGTTAAATACAGGTGAAGATAAGATATGCTCAGGAACAGAAGAATAGAGAAGTACAAAGTAAAGATAAGAATGTATCAAAGGGGGCACCTGGTGGCTTAGTGGGTAGAGCAGGTGTCTCATATACGAAGGCAATGTCTCTCTCACGTCCAGATTGTCCCATTTAAAAAGGTAAAAGCGCCAAAAAATAATATTAAAAGAATATATAAAAGTATAGGCACTGTATATTGGAACTATACCAGAGCAATTAAAGACAGAGTGATGAGGTAAAGTCACATGGTAAGATTAATAGCAGCAAGTGTTAAATAAAAACCAGAATGATATATGCAGTGAGTAAGTAATGATACTTAGTGTTGTCTGTATCAATATAGCAAAACAGAAAGGCCCTCCAGAAATGTGTTAGGCAGAGAACGGGCCCCTGCAAGTGATTCAGATTGCCACCTCAGAAATATGGCTGTGTACAAAGAAGAACTTGTGTTAAATTAAAAATTGTACATGTAAGAGTGCCATGGTGCCCTCTTAAGGGGATGCTGTATGATGTATTGTTGTGTATTTATGCGTTATGTGTTTTTGTTGTTTGTTGATTTTTTGGGGAAGCAGGCAATGAGCACAGCACTTAAGTCAAAGACAAATATCCCTACGGGGACAATAAAGTATATCGTATCGTATCGCATCGCATCGTATCGTATCACGTCGTAACGTTGCACATCATATCGTATCGTATCGCATTGCACCGTATCACATCGTATCGTATCACGTCGTATCGTATCACATCGTATCGCATCACATCGTATCGCATCATACCGTATCGTATCACATCATGTCATACCGTATCATATCGTATTGCATCGCATCGTATCGTATCACATCGTATCGTATCACATCGTATCGTGCATATATCCCTGTAAAAAGGCAAAACAATTATTAATTAAATGAATAGTTTCTCAATTTATTTGGTGTTTTTGTCATGTATAGATTCTCAGTGATGATTGCAGGGTAATATGTTTGTTGATGTTGTCCAACTTCAAGTCTCTATTTGATCATGTGACGAGACGATACGATATACAATCGTTGTTTTGACGCATAATCTGGCATTATGGCCGCCTTAATGGCGCGCACTGGACCTCATCCTAACTACCGTACACCATTGTGTGATACAGTAAAGTAAAGTAAGGTTAAGGTTACCTGTAAGTACTGTCAGGTTCACGTGTCTGCTCGCTCTAGGTGGGAAATCCACCTAGAGTGGACAATATATCCCTATATAGGGTCTTGGTTCAAGGAGTTTAATTGTCGTCCCACATGACAGCTGGAAACTTCCGCAATCAGGTTGAAGAACATGAAGGATGCACCATGACGTTGAAACCTGATGTTTGTACCTGCAGCCTGTGCACATGAGTAACACTGCAGTGCTATGCTGGAAACGAACCTGATGAGAGAACCAGACGAGTAAAGTTTTGAGCTGTAAAACCAAAACAATGAGCTGAAAGACCTTAAAATGCTCTGTTGAGCTGCGAGGAACCGCAGAGTTGGTGATAATTATCTGTGGGTTTGTCACTATGACCAAACTGTTTACATTACACACAGTCTTTTGATCCTTTGTTTCCAGAGCTTTGGTAGTAGCTTGTAATGAACAGCGTGAGTGGGTGTTGGCTGGTTCCAGATCCGCGACAATGTCTGACTAATCATGTTAAACAGAAGCGCAGCGTTTGCATACCAGCTCCATAAAGTTTAAGATTAGAGATTAATAAAGACTGAGTGTTCAGGTTAGACACAAGTCATTATACTGGATAATAATACTGGTAATATTAATGCAAAAAAATCTTCTAATTTTGTATCAAATACTTGAATTTAAATGATCAAATTTAACAGTGAACATTGGCAAAGAAACACCGCATGTCGACAGCTTTAATTCAGAAGATTGCTTAAGAACCTGCTCTGGTGTAAGCCTCCGAATTGAAGCTCCCAAGACAAAAGCTTTTGTACTTTATTTGAGAAAAGACATGACAAATATTTGCTTTGCATTGACAGTCTTCACACGTGCATTTATCTGCCGTCAGCTTAACGTCATTTTACTGACCCTTTTGTTCAGGGAGAGCCTGGGAGTCAAGGAATGATGGGCCTACCTGGACCTGCTGGGCGTGGCTTACCAGGGTCAAAGGTGACGACAGCCAGTTACTCAGCAACGCACACACACCCATACTGCGACAGACACCCTGATTGATATGTTAAGTCCTGTCATCAAGTGATGGGTGACATTTTTAGAATGAATCCAACAAGGTGAGAAACACGAGCAGCGAGACATTCAGACAGGTCGCAAAAAGACAAACACGGTTTAACCAAACTTATTTGGAAAATAAAGTGAATAAATGATGATGATGTTGCTGTGCTGATTCACTACTGGCAGGAAAAGTGGCCACAAATACTAAAAATGAGCATTATGTGCCAGATTAACACAAATTGTCTTTTGCATATTCACAGTTAAAGAGCCAAATGTGTATTTTAACTAACATATTATCAAAAGTCAAAAAAAGTCCTGTGCACACCGAAACAGTCTTAAACAGGTGCGTAGGTGGGGCGAACAATGAATCAAAAAGGAGAACACCCGCACACTGTTTGCACTTGAAACTTTTTTTTTTTTCTCTACTTGATGTTTTTCCTGTATTGATTATGGTACTTTGTATTTTCTATGTGAATTGATGGTGTGATGTTGGACACCGACTCATTGATTGACAGAGGAGGAGTTTACTCAGAGCCTCTGCGTGGCTTTTTAGCCCGTTTTCTGCCTTCAGCTGACACCAGCAATCAAAAGCTGAACCGGTGTTGATTCTGGTTTTGCTTCTCCGTTGGTCGGCTAGAATTTGCGACGGATAGTGCTGGGACAACACCATACCTCTGCAGCTATCACAATCTGGCAACCCTGAGCTCCCCCCCATAACCAACATAACCAGATCAAAATATTGGCATATTTTGGGCCCATCAAAATTTCTAAAACAATTATTTCTCTACTGTAATTATTTTTTTCAGGAAAATATAGACTTTAATTCTACACCTTTCTAGACGTTCTATGGATGTATTATTTTTTTTTAAATATCTGTTTTGATGAAACAGCGATACATATGACCTTTAATCTAGTCTATATGTAGCTGTTGAATAGTTTATTGTATTTTCAGACAATCTTGTTTTGTGTGTAGAATCACAATCTGTAAAGAAACTTGTAGCTATAGCTGTAAAGTAAATGTAACATAACCTATTTAGAACAATGACTTATCTGCTTGTCACAACTATGTCAGCAGTATCCTGACATATAACACAAAACACGATTTTTCAAGGGGATCAAAAATATATAATTGTACTGCTTATGAGCTATAATAGTGGGTTAATTGTTCACACTCCAAATAACAGGGAGATCCTGGGCCTGTGGGAACATCTGGACCTGTTGGAGAACCTGGAGTAGGAATCATCGGGCCGAAGGTAAAGTGGACACAGAAAATAATCATATCAATATAACACACCTCATTGCTTTCCCCCCACACTTAAATAATGCAGTGTGTGTGTATTTCGAGGTCAGAGTCATAATATAATCAATAAACCCATCTGCAGGTCAATATATTTTTTATGCTAATATGAAGATACAGCAGCATTTTGTCACAGTTGGTCCCTCTCAGCATGTCGACTGTTCTCCTGTTCCTCCTTCAGGGTAACAAAGGAAACACTGGACCTGTTGGACCACCAGGAGTGAAGGGAGAGGGCATCCCAGGCCCACAGGTGAAAGGAAACACTTGTCAAAACTGAGGAGTACAATGAAATTATCCTCATATTTAATGTGTAAGAAAAACAGATTTGTAAATGAACATCATTTCCCTGATCATTAGGGGCTGCCTGGGTTACCAGGAATGCAAGGAGAGATCGGACCTGAAGGGAAAGGACTACCTGGACCTAAGGTGAGGCATCGCTGAACAGCTTCCACACCAGCAAAGCAAAATGACCCTCTCATAAGATATGGTTGTGAGATTTATAGCAGGCCATGATCAGAACATAGACCATTGACTTGTGACAATATTGAAAGAGACATAATCTGAATCTGACCAAAAAAGTGTATAAGGGGTTGTATAAGATGGATAAGTGGTGGAAATTATTTCTGATGTTTTGTCTGTCAGGGTGACAGAGGTTTGCCGGGCGTGCCAGGGCCATCAGGTCCTCCTGGAATTGGACTTTACGGACCCAAGGTCAGTATGAAGGGAGCTAAACAATTTCTACTGTTCTAATAAATAGTTTCTTCTGCATATCATAATAACATCAGACCTATAACTACTGTGATGCAATGTTTTCCCAGGGCTCTACAGGGCAGCCTGGTCCAGTAGGCCCACTGGGGCCTCCAGGAGAAGGCATCCAGGGACCAAAGGTAAGAAATAAAAACACTTGACAAGGCTTGTAGGGTGTCATTCAATATAATGGGATCACAGATGTATTCCAGCTGTATCAAGTTGTTCACCAAAGATGGGTTAAGGTACTACTGATGCTACTCTTGTCACATTTACCAGTTCCTCCCTCTTTATTCTTAGGGAGAGCCTGGGTTTCAGGGGCCAATGGGCCCTCGGGGGGCACCAGGGGACGGTCTTCCAGGAGAGAAGGTAATAACAGTACAGTGACTGCATGTTAATGGTTGCCTGAGACATATCTCCTCTAAGCACCAGTGCTCCTGCTTTGCTGTGATAAAGAGTGCTTTCACACACGCAGGGTGACAGAGGCATTCCTGGAGACCGGGGAAAGAAAGGAGACAAGGGAGACTATGGAGAACCTGGATCTACTGGAAAGATGGTAATATAATATGGTCTTTTTCATTTCATGTATAGTGGGCCCACAAAGGACGGGTCTGATGGCGTTATTGGTGTCTATTTCCACGTTGGGAAAATGTATTAAATACAGACCCAAATCGGACATCTTCAGGCTGATACAATCATCAGTTTATCATCATCAGGATTGACTGGTCCAAAACTAATGACTCTGTAATGGCTCTGTTCTTAAAAGGACAGTTCATCCCAAAATCAAAGATACATATTTCCTCTCCCATCTGTAGTGCTATAAGCGTTTTGGTGTGAGCTGCTGAGTGTTGGAGATATCAGCTGCAGAGAGGTCTGCCTTCTCTCAAATATAATGGAACTACATTTTCTGATAAACTCAACTGCAGTGTCTCTTTCCAGAGATCATGACCCGGTTACTCAAAACAATCCACAGACCTTGTTGTGAGCAGTTTCATGTAGGACCTGTTTTCTTTATACCAAACTCCACCGACCGTATCACCGCATAGAAGGAAGCGTGCAAGGATTTTGCGCTTGGCTGAGTTGTGTCAATAAAACCTCTTGACGCATCGATGACTTGCATACAGCATGTCACTAAAGAAAGAACTGAAAAATTGCCTCATGAAATCATCAGGTCTGTGAAGAAGAAGGTATACTTTATTAATCCCCGAGGGCATATTCAATTTTTTCACTCTGTTGTCATGCACACACAGGCCTGAAATACACACACATGCACAAACAGGACCTCTACATAAATGGGCTGCCCATGGACAGGTGCCCCAAGCAGTTGGGGGTTAGGAGCCTTGCTCAAGGAGGTGAACTGGCATCTCTCCAGCTGCCAGTCCATGCTCTATACTTGGTCCGGACAGAGACTTGAGCTGGCGACCCTCCAGTTCCCAAGCCAGGTTCCTATGGATTGAGCTACTGCTGCTCGAGCTCAATGTGGACGGACAAGTAACCTTTCTCAATTTAATACATGAATCAGATATGAATGTAACACTTTCATATGTTTTCCATTGTTTGCAATTTGACAGGAGCTCCTTTAATTACATCATCTCGTTTTCTCATTTTCTTGAATGATTTATGGCACCTGTCTGGAGAATTAGTTCCACCAACTATCTTCAATATTCATATAACAGTTGTGAGTGGAAATGCACATAAGTAAGCATTTTCTGAACTCAATGGAAATTGCGTAAAACATATCTGTTAAATGCAGACAGAACTTAAAACCTGACTAATAACCCCCACTCTGAGGTGTGAGTTCTGAAACACTTGATAAATACCGGCCGTGAAGGTCTCTATTAGCTCTGCTAGAATAACAACGTGGGCCTCCAGCACTTGGTAGTGTAACAACTGGTGCACCAGGTGAGAGTGGACTCTAACACACCACTCTGGAGACAGTATTTACAGACAGGTAGGTTCAGCACACAGATGGACAACCAGTGAAGGCAAACAGATCCAATAAGGCAGAGGCAGAGTCAATCAACAAGCTCAATCCAAAAAGCTAAGAAAAGAACCCTGGGAAACAAAAGGCTGAAACTCTAGACACACAGAGAGCTAAGACAAACTGTCACTGAGAGAAAACAAGACACACACTAAATACTCTAACGAGACACAGGTGAGGCTAATGAGGGCGGGACTAGTCTGAGTGGGCGGAAGTTTGCTGCATAGATCAGCCTCTCATTGGGCGGAACGAGCCACCCGCTGAAGTCCTGCCCTAACACCTCCGGTTGTGTAGCAGTTTTCAACACATCCTTTATTAACTTTTGCGGTGTTTGATCTTGCAGGGATGTAGCCATTTTTCTGCCATGGTTCGCATCCTGTAGGCAATATTTTTGTGGCCGTGTTACACCAAAACCCCAGCAATTCCCCCCAGCAATATTTTTGCAAGCACACCGTTGCTGTGGCACCGCCCAGAACGATTGTGATTGGTTGGAAGAAATACAAGCAGCCGGGGCGTTTTTTTTCCTCCAATCTTAAAGTGAGAGTCGGCCCAGCCAGACCTTTCTTTTTTTGAGAAAGGTCTGGTGAGCGAGACTAGAGCGGGACAGACAATCAGACACAGGTGGAGTCATCAAAATGGAGGGAAAACACACAGGGACAGGAAGTGAAGTGATGTGAAACAAGAGGATTTGTGAGTTTCAAAGTAAAACAGGAAACAACATGAATGAATGAAATAAAAATCATAACCTAAGAGCCAATGGATTGTACAGTAGCTTATCTTACACCAGGTCACCATTCACTCATTCTGTGAAGTTAGCTCGACGTCATGTCAGCATTCTACCTCCTAATGTGAGTTTAATCTTTCAGGGGAGACCTGGAGAAAAGGGAGAGCCAGGACTGACAGTAAGTAAAGTAACTGATCGAAGGACATTGAGTTTTATATCTTAATATAAAAATTTAAAACCTATTTTCAAACTTTTTCTGTACGCAGAAAGAAGAGGTCATCAGGATTATAAGAGAAATCTGTGGTAAATTACACATTTAATCACATTTTACAGCAGTTTAATCCTCAATCAATAATAATGTTTCGGTTCATGTTTTTGGATCCACCCTCACAGTTTTATAACAATTCTAATTTCTCTCTGACCTGTTTCTGCGCAGGCTGTGGTCTCAAGTGCAGAGAGAGCCCTCTGGAGCTGGTGTTTGTGATAGACAGCTCTGAGAGTGTAGGGCCAGAAAACTTTGAGCTGGTGAAGGACTTTGTGAACGCTCTTATCGACCGGGTGTCAGTGAGCAGAGATGCCAGTCGGGTCGGCGTGGTGCTCTACAGCCACGTGGACATGGTCGTTGTCAGTCTGCAGCAGCAGCCCAGCCAGGATTACATCAAGGCCGCCGTGAGGAAGATGCCGTACCTTGGCGAGGGCACCTTCACAGGCAGCGCTATCCATCGAGCCAACCAGCTGTTCCAGGCGTCGCGGCCCGGTGTCAGGAAAGTGGCTGTGGTTTTAACAGACGGGCAGGCCGACCCCCGTGACGTCATGCAGTTTGAACAGACAGCAACAGAGGCCCACGCGCAGGGGATCGAGATGTTTGTAATAGGCGTCGGGAACAAGACTGACCCTCTGTATGAAGCGTTCCAGGCTCAGATGGATGTGATCGCCTCTGATCCTGATGAAGAGCACGTCTACCTCATAGATGACTTCAGGGCACTTCCCAGTAAGCAATCAGTGTCATCTCAGAAGTCATCAATACACCACAGGTTTTCTATAACAGACTGTGAACCCTTCAGACACAGTTGAGGTGACTTGAAGCCAAACTTGTACCAATTTAGAACACAAAGACATTACCAACAAGTCTGGAGTCTGCAAAAAATTATCCTTAACTTAACTTAAGTTCTTGCTTCACAGTCATCAAAAATCAAATGAAATTGTTTTGTTCTGTTGGTCACAGGACTCAAAGTTGATAAAGGAGTTTGACTCAGTCGGTTGACATTAGCCAAGGGGGGTATAGCTTGAATTAAACATGTCATAGACAAACACTACGGTAAAAAATGTTTACTGCTTTGGTTTATCACCCATTTAGCCACCTATTACAATTCTATAATTTCCTGTAACATTATTTTTCTAATCATGTTACCGCTTTGTTTCTTTTGTTTCTGTACAGCTCTGGAAGGCAGAATACTGAGTCAGATTTGTGAGCAGGTCGACACAATGGCATATCTTCCGAACTCTGTCTTTCCACCTGTGGAAATCCAACCCGAGTCTCCAGACGGGAGCCGCTCCAAAGAATTCCCAGATGAGGAAAACATACAAGTAATGCTGCTTTTATCTCATCTGTGAAAATGACAGTCAGACGTAATGCTTGAAAATACTGTTAATGTCAGTCCTCAGGTGATGAACATGACTAAACACATTGACTTCACATTTTAAACCTGCTGATCCCCTGTCTTTTCCACAAGAGAGACGATTTCAGTTTTAACTAAGTCAAATGTCTCATGGACCTTCATCAGGTACATGCTGACAGAGAGAAAACACAGTTCATTTAAACTGGAGGCAAAGTCCACAATGAACCACACCTGAGTCTCATTAGTGGTCAACAGATTACACCTTGTGGCTCTGAGTAAACTCCTCCTCTGTCAATCAATGAGTCAGTGTCCAGCATCACACCATCAATTCACATAGAAAATACAGAAACACAAATGCAACAAAGTACTATAACTATAAGTAGAGAAAAAAATACATATCTTACTATATAATGACGAAAACTCTGTCTGTGTGTCTGTTCCACGTTTTTCTCCTCACTGACTTGGTCAATCCATGTGAAATTTGGCACAGTGGTAGAGGGTCATGGGAGGATGCGAATGAAGCAATATTACATCAGTTGGCCAAAGGGGGGCGCTATAGCAACCAATTGAAATTGCAAACTTTGAATGGGCATATCTCATGCCCCGTATGTCGTAGAGACATGAAACTTTGCACAGAGATGCCTCTCCTCATGAGGAATAAATTTGCCCCAAGAACCCATAACTTCTGGTTATATAGATTTTCTGCCATTTTGAATTTTTTCAAAAACACTTCAAATCGATCTCTCCGATCGCTGTGGCTCCCCCTGTGGACCAATGTTGTTTTTCTTTCTAATGTTTGGTATGACTAAGTCATGGTATGGTATGCTGTACATAATCATGGAAACTGTCAGTGTGTCATTCTGTCAGTGTGTCATTCTGTCAGTCAGTCAGTCAGTCAGTCATTCTGTCTGTCCCACGTTTTTCTACTCACTGACGTGGTCAATCTATGTGAAACTGCACATAGGCATTGAGGATTGGCATAGGTAGAAGGTGACAAAGCTACCAATGGGTGTGGACTAGTATATTTTAAGTGGAAAGACTTCTTGAATAGAAACAATCTTATAAGTAGACAATTTTAAATAGAAGTTATTTTTTTCGAAAAGACTCCCAGTGGAAGAAATTATGTAGAAGAATATAAGTCTAAACACTTAAAAGGCTGTATAGGTCCGATGTAGGATAAAAATCACTGCGTATCATGCCAACATTAAAAGATGCCTTTTTAGTTGGTTTCTGGCGCCACAAGTCACTGCCCAGATTTCGACGCCTTCCAAGTGAGACCGGGCTCTTAAGACAGGCTCTCCACACTGTTATTTACAAGCGATGAGATTTGTGTGTCCAGACATCATGACCTACCTGTCTGGGTTGCTGTTGCTGTCAGTAACTACATAGCTATGCTGGTGACGCCACTTTCCAACGCATCAGTAGACAATTAATTTTGGCTTCTGTCCACAGACTGTTTTGCTCCATGTTGTCCTTCAAAGCCCTCTGTTAAAAGAAGCATATATTCTGCTCAGCACTTCCAGAACTCTTGATTTAACGTTGTTTTTGTAATGTATAAACTGTTTTTACTTCTTCCATCTCCATTATTTCCCCCAAAAGGTCTCTGGAAGTTGATTTTCATTGTTTATTGAAATTACACTGAAATTACCAGAGGCTGCATGGAAGACAGGAAACACTGCAGTACAGTTTGAACGATCAGTGTGTCTGATTTGAGCTCTTCTTTCCTTCCCAGGTTGAGCTCCCAGTGGAGACACTAACAGTCCCGACCCCACAGTCCCAAGAGTTAGGTCCTGCCGACAAGAACCTGGTTGACACCAAACTGTTGGTGGAACCCTGGAACGAGCTGCCGGACATCACATTTGCCTCCCCTGGTGGCAGGGGGCCGCAGGGCCCCGGGTTGACCTCTGTGATGGGTCCTCACACTCCGACCGACTGGCTGTATGAGGCTGAGAGCACTCAGGCTCCTGTCAGCCCTCCCCCTCCCCCCCTGACAGACTCATCACTGCCAGGTAAACAAGCTTACATCAGAGTGTGTTTCATCAGTTTGATTTGCCTGATAAGCGCATTGCCTTCCTGCACTACAGCCATATGATAAAAAACATGACGGGAAATCTGGAGTTGTGCAACACGTCATAAGGCTGCTTATCACATTATGTGTTTGTTTTGGTTGGGAAATCTTGCCGTCCCCCCTTTCTCAAATAAGTTTGTTTTGTAAGTGTTTTTTAAGATGAACTAATAATAATATAAAAACCAAACACACCCCTGTTTTTTTTACGACAGAGTCATTCTTCACCGAGGGGTGGCCTGTCTTTTCTTTATTCATTCTAACATGTAAAGAAAATGACAGACTGTGTCCGTGGACTCTTTCTGATTATTTGCAAATGATAAGAACAGATTCAGCGGTGGAGAGTTTTTAAATACAAGTTAAAATGCTACATATTTGTATTTCATTTAAGTATTAATACTCTACTCCACTGCATTTCCACTTTTTACTCTATTACGTTTGTTTCATAGTCCAGTTTTAGTTAGTTGTAGCTGAAATGACAGCAGTGATTTATCAATCCAAGCCAACAGTTCCCTGATTGCACCCTCCCTGTCCTTTCAGACGAGGGGTGCCGTCAGCCTCTGGACCCAGGTCCCTGTCGACAGTACGTGGTCAGGTGGTACTACGACCCCGAGGCCAACGCCTGCGCCCAGTTCTGGTACGGAGGCTGTCAGGGCAACACAAACAACTTTGAGTCAGAAGCCAGCTGCCGGAATTCCTGCGTCTACACGTAACAAACTGTGTTTGGAGACGAGGGCATGTGCAAAGCTAACATGCTCAATCACTGTCACCGAGGAACAGAGCGGACTGATGATGCAGGTTAGCAGCTGCTGCTGCGGCCACACACACACTGTGGATTGCTGCGGGTGAAGGAGACGATGGAGAGCAGACTTGGACCTCCTCACTGTCTCTCAGGCTACGTTCACACTGCAGGTGCTCCTGCTCAATTTTTAACTGCTGCACATGTACAAGCTGTCGGGTTATCTTGGACAACTACTTCTATCTGCTCTGGGATTCATATCTGAATATATAACTAATAACCAATACAAGCTGACAGGAGCATCGGAAAGACTGATTCAACATCTCATCCCAAATCATTTCATTTTCACTTTAGTTGACCTCCAGGCTAACACTCGATATAATAATTCCTCTTTAAGCAGGTATCACACAGTGACTTCAGCTTAGTCTGTTTGGGTTTTACAATACATCCGAGAGCAAGTTCTTAATCGCAAGTCACCCCATTCACATTCTTCAGTACCATGCTATTATATGACATGAGACAAGCCAAAAAGGGGATTACACAATAAACTCTAGTCACACAACTTGAATAAAAAAGCTGCAGAAAATGAGGACTATCCAAATATCAAAGTAATACTAAGGCCGTAAATACATGTGGGAATGATTAAACATTCACAGAGTGCAGAGTGGACAACACATAAACAGAAAATTGTACATTTTGATGCGCTTTTTTTCTCATTATTAACAGACCTATGAATATATGATACAAGACTGACGAAAATATTTTTACACCTGATGTGGACTATTCGAGCAAAATATCAGATTTAGAATCAGCCGCGAGCTAGTCAACAGTGTACGCCATTCATTAGTTTAGTCAAGTATCTCAATCTGTTTTAAACCTCTAAACAAATGATTCTTCTGTTTGACATTTATGTAATATTAATAATATCAAATTTTTAAATAAATAATTAATGATTATAATATAATTACCACAGAACACCAAAATGATTTACTGTTCTGTCACAGCGTCTCAAATGCTCTTTATTAGTCATTTTTTGAGGACAATTGACTTCCAGTGATCTGCTGATCTAAAGTTATGCCACCCATACATGAGAAGACTTTGAAAAGACTTTAAAAACATTTACGTCTTACACCATCTCACGTCTAAAGACAACGTTAGTGTTTAGTCAAACACTGGGGATCTTGCAGTGTCACTATTTACAAGACTACAACTAAATTCCTTTTGAGATTATTTCCCATCCTGCTCCTGCTGGAAATTCAACGCCAAACTCCCTTAAAGAAATATGACATATTAACAATTCCTAAAGTGTCCGAAAAGTGTCATTGAAGTTCAGCTTTTGTACCAGCCAAGGCTAAAAACTTAAGATAATATTAAACATGTTTGATTTAGGAATGTTAAGACAAAAAAAAAGACTAACCCTGACCGAGTTTTATGACCGCCTTATATCAAATGATTGAGATCACAGGAGAGCACCAACTGAGAGACTCTCATGATTTTAATCCAACATCAGAAATTTGTCTGCTACAGTGAAATCTCTTGAAAAGTTGTTTCATGTAAGGGTGGCATCAACTGTGCAGCATTGGTTCCCTGGTTAAGACTTCAAATCAGAGATAGCTCACCTCGTGAAACAGGCCCCAGGACACCTCGTGTGTTTTAATCATTTACCCGAGCATATGTTCTATGCAGCAGGAAAAATATCTCAAGTTAACTGACTTACTGATTTCAGGCTACTTTTTTCCTAATGATTCTCTATTAGACACAGAAAGCATGGAAAGAATAAGGAGTTCTTAAAACAGCAGTCATACCATTTTAATCAATATTATTAAAGGCTCTGTACGTGACATTCAGAGCATTAAAAAAGCAGCAAACCATTATTTGCTATGTGAAGATATTGTGTTGAAATCCGGGCTTCTCTGTGGTTTGCTGTGGGAAGCTGCTCCAGCTGTGTGTGCATGTGTGTATCCCACTGGCTAGCTCACTGCCACAGCTTTGAACTGCGCACATACAGTGGTGACTGCTGATATCAGGACGGCGCCATCGCAGAGGCGTAGCGCCCACCCTCTGGTTCCCCCCTGGTTAACATCTTTAGCTCTGTCAGCACTGTTGCTGTTGTTTAGCGCTGTTTATAGAGTTAGCGCTGTTAGCTGCTAGCTGTCGCCCCTTTAACGGTTTAATGTCAAATTATTTGGACAGAACTTCGTGATTCAATCAAATGCAAAAGGAGACGTGTGTGTTTAAAATCGTTTGTTGAGAAGAAAACCAGGCAAACAAGCACAATCATCCGTAGCTAACGTAACGGCTCAGCTAATCCTAAATATAAAAGCCTCTCTGTTCTCCTTCATTGTCCGAGTTACCCTGTTGAACCCATCGTCATCACTCAGCGCGGTCGGGTTAGCCAAACCGGCTCTACTTCTTCCATCATCACACTGACCTCAACAGTGACACAAACTCACAGTCAGCACACTCTGTTCGATGCAGCTTGGCAGGACTTGCAGTTGTGGACAGACAACACAGTATGGATATTTCGTTTGTTACTATGACTACCAACATATCAATTATTCACAGTTATGTCTACATCTGGTCGGTTCAACTGTATATTTCATTAAGAAGTATGTCATGACAATATTACTATATGAAAACAGCACAGAGCAAAACATGAGAATTGAGGCACTTTCACCTGCAATGTGAATATAGTTTCTGTATATTACTGTTGTAACAAATGTAGTTTATGGAGCCAACAGTGTATTAAACACTTTGTATTTTATTCTAGGGTAATGCATTCTGGGATTTGTCTTGTTCTTGTGGGTCACTGTTCGTAGGTGTTTCTTTAAGAGTTGTCCACAAAGCAGCGGTGCCTTCAAGGGCATCTTGATAACTAAACACGCGGTGTATTCTTAACCTGTTTATTGTGTTTTCACACGATGTCGTAGCTCCTTCAATGTTCATTTCTTGCGCTGTAGTTGTTTTAGGTCATCTTAACACACTCTATTAACCTCCATTATGATGAATGTTGTATGGAAAGAGACACTTGACTGTAAAATATATTTTATTGTTTAACACTGTAAAAGTGCCAGAAGGAATAGTAAACGTAGAACGTGGTAGTTCAACAGAGTAAACCCTTTTTCAATAAATAAAATATAATTTCTTAAAGATTGTCCATTTGAGTTACCCTTTCAAAAGTGCAACACAGATATATGACATATTTGATATTTGAGTAGACACAGCTGGTACACATGGTCGTCAGTCCTGCTGATCTAAAGCCTCTGGCTGTGTCTCAACCATTGCAGACATATTAGTGACAGTAGAGCGGTACGAGTGGAAAAAGAGGCGAGGATGACTGGCAACAAAGAGTCCCCGGCTAGATGTTGTTCCACCAGGACATTATCCACTTTGCCAAGAGTTAGATCAGTGAGTTGATGCCACTGTCATATCTGTCTTGTAGATATACAGCTGCTATCAGAACACATACAAAAATCGAAGTGTAGACACCGATAACACCTCTGTGGATTAACAAAGGAGATAGAACGTGCTAATTGACAAGCTTTGGACAAAGCCAGTCTATCTGCTTCCTCCCGTTTTCAGTCTTTATGCAAAACAAAGCTAAGCAGTCGCCAAACTTGAGTTGCACTGATCCTCTTTAAAATGCTACAATTCATCGTACTCGGACAAAAAAATTAGCTACTTTTTATCAGGTTTACGTTACGTAGTGTTTGTCTTGTGAATCTTAACAGCAAAAAACAGATGCAAAAAAATGTCTACAACTTCTGCTATTGGCTGTGGATGTTCACACTATTACACTCCACACCCGTTGTCTTATTTTTTACAGCATTTCTCTTAATGGCGTTGTAATATCTTATGTGGGTCCTCTGTAGCAGCTTGTGAAGCTCAGACTTGACATGCAAACATCAGTTTGCTGAGGATGTCCATGTTTTCTAAAGCAGATGCACTTGGATTCATTAAGTTCGGAAGTTTGAAATACAGACACAGAATTATAGACTGCTGACTTGCAGTGGATCACAGCAGAACTCCTGGCAGTGAATACGTGTAGTTCACAAAATGTGTAAGACAATATAAGACAGGTAAGTGGAAGAAAACACACTATTTGTTTTTAACAGAAGAAAAATAAATACACAGCAAATTGTTGCAGCAAAGCTTCAGCTTGAATTCACATTGAAATCATATACTGTTGTCAACATAGTGAAATGTATACACCAACAGTGTGTAATATTCAGAACATAATGTACCTAACAATCTGGACAGAGCTACAGTGCTGCTGATTTTCTACACTGCTGGATAGTGCCAGTGCATTTGACAGTACATTCTTATTTCGGTGGCTAGTGTAGAATAAACTGCAGCTTTGTTTTCATTTTTTAAATCTTAAAAATCAGCTCTCACTGGCCTTCACCCAATCTTCTCTTTATCATTAACAGCTTTGTTTTTTACTATCGGCCATTTAAGATTTTTTTCTGAATGTGGCTAAAGATACTCCCTGCATGCTCCTCCACATTTCACTGTCGTAAAAGACAAAAATAAGGAGGACAGATTAAAGGCACGCATGTTCTTTACATTTCCTTTCTTCCTATACACAAAGTTATAGCTTAGTAAAACACACTGACTCAAATCCCCAAACATCATGAACACTTTTCACAGTAGAAATCTGACCTTTGTGGGAGTTGAAGGAATCAACACATCTTTAAACCTGAAAAGCCTTAAGTTACAGTTATGGTTTGAAAAAGTTAAATATCTTGTGTTAAATAAGTTAAGCTTGGCTCTAGAACCTGCTGATACCCTCCATCTGTCCTCCAGTTAGTGCAGAGGTTGTTGTGCACACACCAACATTTCATGTGGGCCTAGTAATGGTGGTTGATTCAGTTTTTTCATCTGGATTAAATCTGTATTTGTATCCGTATGGCCGCAGATGGTACGTCAGGTAGTCCAACACATACAGCTGGGCAGCTTTAATGTAGTGGAAGGACACGACAAAATCTGAGCAGCAGCCTGGACCCTGGAGAGGAAGAGAGAGAATCGCAGAGGTCAGCACAGTTACAGTTCAGATTATGTACCAGTATCAAAATCAAAACAGAACCACTGCTGTCCGTAAGTGTTCAGACAATGGTACACAAAGGGTTAACAGTTTCCCACCTAACCCAAAATCACTAACAGGATTGGCTTTGCTGCTCTTGCTAACATGTGATTATTTTTGATTTGTAAACGTTTGGACTGCAGTGTGGCATCTTTCCTCTGACCTGCAGCTCTGTGTCTCTTGGTTCTTCTCAAAGTCAAGGAAGGATCCTTAAACAGCTGAATTTCAAGGCGGCTACCTCATTAAATCCCAGCAAAGTACTGTTCCAATGTCAAGGATCCTTCGAATTCTACCGAGGACCAAGTCCTTCCCTCAGATAATTCTCAAGGATGCATCTGTGTATCCTCAGCTGACACGAATTCACCGAATGCTAGGAAGGAGTCTTATAGCGTCTGCAGGACTCTGCCCTACCAAGGAGACACCCTTGACTTTGAGAAGCACCATCTGTCTCGGCGTCCTCCTCACTTTGCTCTGTTTGGGACTGTCCCCAGGCTCCAGGATGCCTCCCACTGAGCAGCTGTGAGCTCCACTATATCGGAGGTGGTGAACTTAACATTTGTGTAGAACATAAACCACTCAATGGTGAGATTTATACCTGATCACAAGTGTTTTAAGTTAGTTTGTTTTCCACCTCAGATGAAGAGCAGCACACAGTCGCTTCCCTGAACTTTGTCTCATCCACAGAGAGTCTCAATCGGGGGGGCTGTGACACAGGTATGCGGGATGTTTCAAAGTGCAGAAAGTCTTGGACATGAGCAGAAATCTTGCGGAAACACACGAGTCCAGGGGTCTATGAATAAATTTAGTTACTGTGTACTGACTTGAATCTGTGCCACGTTAAAAGAGGTTACTTCCTCAAACAAGAGACAAAAGAGGAGGAAGAATAAATCGGGCCTACACGTGTGTTGACTCAGCGGAGATAACATTAAATGAGACAAGCTGATCTACAAGGAAAAATAAATATTTGAAAGCAATACAGAAGGCCTGACAACCTTCCTGCATTAACTTCCATTATATTTTGAATTGTCGCGTTTTGTTTATCCTTTACATAAAGACATTTCCACTATAAACTGATGCATTAAATTAAACAGAATGCAGGAAATGAAGTGCCTGACGTCCTCCACTTAATGTGTACTTACAACAGTGTCTACAGATCAGTATATCACTATCTATTGCAATCTATATAAGAGTATTTCTTTAGTGCTACCTGTTGGTGAGCGTGTCTAATGAAACAACTTCAGCTTACTCTGGCTCTCTTTGAGGCATCTGACTTCACCACACCCAGCACTGGCAGCCCAGTGTGGCTGGGCTGATAAAGTTACTCAAGTTACCAAATATTAACTCTGACGTTCCAGTCCAGGTGAGCTTGTGCACATTAGAAGAGGCAGTTTTGTAACAGCCAATCACATGCAACACCAAATGACCCAGAGCAGCACACATTTAAGAAGTTAAAACTGTTGATGCCCGCTTGGACACTTGGTCAGTGCAACTTTAAAACATTAAACTTTAAGAGATAAAACAAAGCCCATCGAACAAGACAAACACAGCAATAGTCAAAGTGGGAAATACAGTAATAATCAAATACTAAACGCTTTATAAAAATGGATAAATATCAGAGCTAGAACGTCAGAGCGTACGAAAATGTACACGTCCGTTTCAAACAATGTTACCGTCACTGCCCACATACTTCCATGCGCCCTTTACGCTGGCATGAATGTTAACCAATATATCCACCAGGGGGCAGCCCAGAGTCAAACGTTTGACAACAACAAACTCAAAAACAAACATGGCGACTGTGGAGGAGATATTGATAATGTACCTCTTGCATAAAAGACAAAAACAGAGGCAGCATTGTAGGAGGCGGTGGTCGGTGAGGCCGTTAAATACATCGCGACTGGAGGACGGAGAATTCTTTTCTCTAGTACTGCCGATGAGAGAAATTGAATTGTTATTTCTTCTTCGTGTCTCACTAGAGCTACGTATCGGGTAGTGACAGCAACACTGCCCCCACGCTTTCCGGTGGTACTGCTCCATTTGGCCCGTATCCGTAGAAATACGGACAAAATGAACGCAGAGCACGGACAGAAGGCTCCGTCCGTATCCGGATCCGTATTTAACGTTGAGCATAAATGAGCCTTATCAGGGTAAGCCGTTATGGAAAATGAATGAATGATATTGTTTCTTATAACATAAAAGGCTGGTCATTGCCCATCATTAGGGCACAATATACTTTGAGAATGGAAAGTGATTATGTACTCAACGAGAGACCATCTTGCAATGGGATCACATCACACCTGCAACTTAAAATGAATGTAGGCCTGGGTAGTAAAAGTTGGAGGGCAATGACCCCTGTCCTACTTCCTGCTTCGCTACATCCTCTGCCCTTGCCCAGACCATCCCCATATTTGAACCTGTAAAGTTCTGTGACTGCATCTTGCACTGTTGTGGCGCTATTGTGGTGACAAAGTCTGACTATAGACAGACACATAAACACTTGGCAAAATTCTCATGAAGGGCTAAGACTTTTCATTGGTCGATAAAGATGTTACCATGTTCTTTGCTGGTTGTAATGGGACAGTAGTATCATTGTCCATACTGGGGTCGTGTAGGAATAGTGACCTTTTTTCCACCTCATAATCGAGCAGTGACAGGTGGTTACTGTTTGTTTTGACACCCAACAACCTGTT